CCTGTCACACGTCTCTGCGTGTCCGACCCTTTTGTGCCTAGGAAGATTCCACCATGGGGCTAGCCACACCTTCGGGTACGTTGGAAGGGTCAGCTCCATTACTCACGCGGTGCCGCGCCGCCGGTGTGACCGCGAGGAACAGTAGCATTGGGAGCCCGACGATGACGGACCCCTGTCTATCGTGCCGCCTCGTTGAAGGGGATAGTCCCCGGTTTGGGACAGATATTCTGAGGGCGAAGGGGGGCATCGTGAGAGAGAGAGAGAGAGAGAGAGAGAGAGAGAGAGAGAGAGAGAGAGAGAGAGAGAGAGAGAGAGAGAGAGAGAGAGAGAGAGAGAGAGAGAGAGAGAGAGATAGGCAGGGGTCCAGGCGAGGAGATGAAAAGGAGACGGCGTGTGTGGCGGAACAAACCTGGATCGAGAATGGTTCTCCCGCCGCTCGAGCTCCAAGGGGCTGCGACCTGGATACCTAACATTGTTCCAAGAACAGCATCATCATGACCACGACGCCCCCCCTCCATCTGTAGGTTGCGTCAATGAGGGCTTCGAAACCTTCGGGTCTAGGGCTAGGCGAGACATCGAACGAACTACTTGGCACGGGTCGGCTCCAGGCCCAGATCCATGCCGCGAGATCAGGACCAGCGGAAGGAGACTTTTCGTCCGGTTTCCTACCCTTGAAAAGACGGAGCGGTCTTCGTATGTTCGAGTCCCTTGGGCTACGAGACGTCCTCCCCAGGCAGGTGTGCTCCTGCGACAGAGAAGGGGGTGGCATGTCAGTAACATGCGCAGGATGCGAGACAGACATGCAGAGATGGGGGGAGAGCAGGGGCGAAGTTAGGATACCCAGGAGGTGTCTATGTACGTACGACCTGCACAGGGCTAGACTTGTGCGCCACGCAGGGAGATCCCATCTCAGAGAGCCAGCGCCGTTTCACATGTTGGCCGTCTCGTCTTACAGGTCCGGTGTTCAGGTGTGTGTGATTGTGTGTGTGTTGGTGATTGTGGTACCGGTATCCGTATTGTACTTGAATCACCACGTAGGGATATCCCACATGCCAAGCTGCCGCGAGCTTATCGGCCGGAGTCTGTTTGCTGTGCCCGAGACTTTACAGAGCAAGTCGAAGCAATCGTTCGTCATCGAAGTGCAGCTTGCATCTCGGTCGGAGGGGACGACATCTCGATGTTGCGTGGGATGCGTGTTCAAGCAAGGCTTTAGCACACCACACTGACCGAATGAAGGAGTCGAATGCCTTCCCTCTTGGTGGTCTTGGATGTCTGGGGATGGAAGCTGGGGGGGGGGGGGTGAGAGCTGGACACCGGAAAAGGGACTGCGAGTTGTTGCTGAAACAAACATGGATGGGAGGGAACCAAACCGGGCCGGAAACGGGGCTGCACGTGTGGCGTACATACAACGTGGCTTGACATAATTGTGTCTCCAACTTCGCGTGGCTGAAGCTACCCCTCTAAGCCAGATATGGTAGGTGCTTACCAACGACACCACAATAGGATTCCGTGATACCAAAGTTTTGGAGACTGGAGCTCCGCAAAGTCAACAGTCTCACATGTGGCGATCTCTTCTGGCGAAGGGTTCGATTCCGCTCAGAACAAGCTTCACCCGCATCACCAGTCCCCAGAGCCGCGCAGCCGCCTTCGGCAGCACCACCGCAAATATGGCGAACACTTCAGGAAACCGAGACCCCAACACCCTCTCCAACTACGGCGCCTGGCTGACCAAGCATACGACGGCCAACTTCACCATCGACTTCAAGGACAAGTCGCTCAAGGGCTCCGTCACGCTCGAGCTCGAGTCCCTGACGGACAAGCAAAGCAAGGAGATCATCCTCGACTCTAGCTTCCTCTCCATCTCGAGCGTCAAGGTCAACGCCGCCACCTCCACCTGGGAGCTCAAGGACCGAGTGGAGCCCTATGGCGCGCCGCTGCATGTCTTCGTGCCCCAGGGCGCTGCCAAGGGCGATATTGTCAAGGTCGACGTCGACCTGGCCACCGCGGACAAGTGCACCGCGCTGCAATGGCTCACGCCCGCGCAGACGGGCAACAAAAAGCACCCGTACATGTTCTCGCAATGCCAGGCCATCCACGCCCGCTCCCTATTCCCCTGCCAGGACACCCCAGACGTCAAGTCGACTTACACCTTCGTCCTCGCGTCGCCGCTGCCCGTCGTGGCCAGCGGCGTGCTCGTCGAGGGCGAGAGCGAGAAGAAGGGCGACGACACGGTGTATCGCTTCGAGCAGAAGGTGCCAATCCCGTCGTACCTGTTTGCGCTGGCTTCCGGAGACATCGCGACGGCGCCCATCGGCCCTCGTAGCATCGTTGCCACGGGCCCTGACGAACTCGAGGGGTCGCAGTGGGAGCTGCAGGGCGACATGGAAAAGTTCATGGAGGTGGCCGAGAAGCTCGTCTTCCCGTACAGGTGGGGCCAGTACAACGTACTGGTGCTGCCGCCGAGCTTCCCCTACGGAGGCATGGAGAACCCTATCTACACGTTTGCGACGCCGACCATCATCAGCGGCGATAAGCAGAACGTGGACGTCATTGCGCACGAGCTGAGTCACTCATGGAGCGGGAACTTGGTCACCAGCTGCAGCTGGGAGCACTTGTAAGCGAGATGACGGTGAGATGACTGTTGGCGAAGAAGAAGCTAACATTGCCGTCTTAGTTGGCTCAACGAGGGATGGACTACGTATCTTGAGCGCCGTATCGGCATGGCTGTCCACGGAGATGCGGAACGCGACTTCTCTTCCATTATTGGCTGGAAGGCCCTGGGTATGTTGGCGCGCTAGCTCTTCTCCTTTTTGCACAACATCTTGCGAGAACCCTGTACTAATCACACACATAGAGGACGCCGTGGCTCTCTTTGGAAAGGACTCGGAGTTCACCAAGCTCATTATCAACCACAAGGGCATCGACCCTGACGACGCCTTCAGCACCGTCCCCTACGAGAAGGGCTTCCACTTCCTGTACTACCTCGAGCGTCTCGTTGGCCGCGATGCATTTGACAAGTTCATCCCCCACTACTTCACCAAGTGGTCTCGCAAGTCCCTTGACTCGTTCGAGTTCAAGGAGACCTTCCTTGACTTCTTCAACGGCCTCGGCGACGACGAGATCAAGAATAAGGTCGCCTCCATCGACTGGGACAAGTGGTTCTACCAACCCGGCCTCCCTCCCAAGCCCGAGTTCGACACGACCCTGGCGGATGTCTGCTACGAGCTCGCCGAGCGCTGGAAGGACGATAGCTTCAAACCGTCTCCTGAAGACGTGGCCTCCTTCTCCGGAAACCAGAAGCTGGTCCTCCTCGAGACCATCGAGAAGTTCCCTAGCCCACTGTCCGCTGACCGCGCGCGTCTTCTGGGAACCACGTACGACCTTGTCTCGTCGCGCAACGCCGAGCTCAAGACGGCATACTACAAGATTGCGCTCGCTGCGGAGGACAAGTCTGCGTACCCGGGTGCTGCAGAACTGCTGGGCCACGTTGGCCGCATGAAGTTTGTGAGGCCCATGTTCCGTTCGCTGAATAAGGTCGACCGCGAGCTCGCGCTCAAGACCTTTGAGAAGAACAGGGACTTCTACCACCCCATCTGCCGAGGTATGGTGGAAAAGGACCTCGGGCTTGTGTAAGCAATTAAAATAGTCTTGGAACGGGTTACAAGAGGAACAACTGAGTATGTCCGTATAGTACTGGGCTGTAGGGTGACCTACACACTTCTTCTCCTGCCATGTTAGAGTCTCCATATCTCCCACGATCACACATCTTCATCTGCAGGGGGGGGGAAATAGGCTGGTGGACCCATCAGTGCACCAAAACAAATGTACAAGTTCCTGCTACTCGACTCATGGTAACGGTGGACTCGGTCTATCAATGAGACATCTGTTCTACCCAGCGTGGACTACGGCCGTCCCTCGTCACCGTGACCTTCTTCTCCCTACAGACCTCCGACCTATAGGCCGCATCACTACTGACGGTATCGTTTGGGTTGCAATCTCCCGCTTGTGCTCCAGCCCGGTTCGGTTCCAAGAGTTCTCCGCATCGCCATAAACAAACGTAACCAAGAGAGGAAGTTTGGTTTGGTGATTGGGTTCCCATTGTCTGTTACACGCAAGCACTACCGCATGTCTTGGCCGATGGGGTGAGGGGGGGCGGGGTGGTTGTTCGCTTCCTGCTATGAGCGTTTGGAATATCAACCATGATAGAGGCGACCCAGGTCAATAATAAACTTTTTTGAATCCTTCTTTTTTGTTCTTGATTAAAGACAACCGAAGGCAATTTCGTCCCCACTTACAATTTACGCAGGCGCCGTGATTGCGCCAACCATGGAACAGGCAAATCATTCTTGTTTTTCTGCTCATGAAGCTCTTTATTTTTATGCCGTTTTATGCGTGTCAAGAGCCCTCTCACCTGCCGTGCAGACACATCTCAAGCAGCATACGTCGACTGCTTGTGTCCCTGTGTGGCCATTTCGAACGAGATTATACGCAGGTCCGCCAGACCAGGTGGACATCGCACGCTCAACCTTGCATCAATACTGTCGGAGACAAGACGCCGGTATCACAAATCAGAGGCATTTGCCCAACTGGGGGACCCGGGGATGAATCGTTCCCTCGGTGAGGTGTGCCCCGACCACGCGAGCGCAGTCAGGGCAAGCTAGCCTGCGTTTCCGTGCGCCCAATTGCCTCCAGAGGTAGAGAGGTATATTGATTGACCCGGCCGCATCGCTCGACAGACACAGAGTCCTGTCAACCATTTCTGGGCCTTGTATTGGAAATAAATCCCCCAGGGCAGGTGACCACGGCAGCTATCGTTCGAGAGTAAGAATGTAGCTGGAAACCCCAATATTGTTCTATTCCTGGTGCTGGCGTCTGCCATTGAGAGAGGGTTATGGGCTCCTTTTTTTTTATATTAAAAGAAAAAAAGGGTCATTCCCCGAGAGCCATCTGCGCCATGGAACGGCCGCATGGTGAACCGGAGGCCACCCCCAGCTGCCGCTTCACAGCTTTGCCTGCTCCTGCGGCGAGAGCTTCCGCAGCGGCGGCCCGCCCCGGCTCCCGTCCCCGGCCATCCTCAACGTCGTCTCCCCGTCGACGGCCCTCCTCATCCTCCACTTCTCCCGCAACGCCGTCGACGCCTTGCGCTCGAAGCTATCCGCGACGTGCGAGCCGATGACCGGGAGGAACTTGAACGCGCTGTAGTCACAGGTCAGCCTATGCACCGTCACCCGCAGTTCAAACCAATCATTGACAAAAAATGGGGGCCAGGGGGGAAGAGGGGGGGTAACTGACTGCCCAGCACCGCCGGTTGCGAAGAACAAACCCTTGATATCGGGATGGTAGTCGACGACAAAATCCCCCTCGGGCGTGTCGGTATACCAGCACAGCCGCCTGTACGCCCACTCCCGCTCCGCGAACTCGGGGAAGAACAGCCTCACGCCCTCCCGCAGCCCCTCGTCCGCGTCCCGCGGCAGGAACTCGGACGCGGCGTTGCTCCCGACTAGCCTCGGGCTCGACACCTTCCTGCCCGCCTCAGCCTCGAACTCGGTCGCGTACCCGAACCCGTGCCTCGCGACCTTGAGCAAGTTCGTCCCCGGCGTCGGCGGGAAGCAGAAGACCCCCGTGCTCATATTTATCATGACCGGCATCTCCCGCACCCGGTCTGCCTCCTCGTCCGACAGCCGGATGAACCCGACCGGCTGCCCCGACGCCGCAACGGCGTGACCCACACCGGGGACAACCCGGTTTGTCCACGCCCCCATCGCGAGCACCACCCTCTCCGCCTCCCACGTCGTCCCCGCCGCCGTCCGCACACCAGTCACGCGGGCCCCGGATCGCTGCAGGGACACGACAGTCCCCTGGGCGCCCGTCACGAACGAGACCCCCGCGCGCGTGCACTCGCTGGCCAGCGCGCGGATCGCCCCCGCAGCGTCCGCCCACCCGCCGGCGCGTTGTGCGTGGCCGTGAACGCCCGCAGGTCCGCCTGCACGCCCTTGTACAGCTTCTTCACCTCGGTGTCCGCGTCGGGCGGCTCGAAGAACTCCAGCGGCTTACCCCCTTCCGCCGCCTCGCCCCGCCACCGGCGATACTTTTCAAAGTACGGGCTCGGGCGCTCCTTCTCGTCGGCCATCATGACGAACCCGGACTCGTGGTAGTGCGGCTTGTACACCCCCGAAGTCCGCCACCCCTGCAGGGCGTCCGTCGCCAGGGACGAGTAGAGCGGGTCGGCGTACTCTGTGCGGATGATGCGCGAGACGTCGACGGAGCTGCCGTCCGGGACGGGCGGCAGGAAGCGGTCTAAGACCGTGATCGAGGTGTATCCCCTGTTGGCAGCGAGTTCGTGGGCGAGGCTTAGTCCGAAGACGCCGGCGCCGACGATGAGGACGGAAGAAGATGCGGACGACATTACGAGCGAAGAAAGGGACGGAGTGTGTGTGTGAGATGTCTTGGTTGCGTAATGTTAGATGAGCAACAATTTTGAAGTGAAATAAAGGACTCTTAGGGGAACTGGTTTTAACGTGAAAATCGGGTATGTTATAACCCATCAATACTTCGACGTCGACGGAGTTCGGTTGAAGATGCCGGTCGCCGGACCCACTTTTCTTTATCAACGAGCGGTGCTGACTCACTCCGTCGCGTGTTGCAATCGCGAGTTTTGATGGTCTCGCACCGAGTAAGAATATAACCACGGAGCTTCATTGCGGGCCCTTACAAAATTCTCTTCGCTCCTTCCTGTATTCCGGCCCTTCGGTCCTCCGGCGTCGGATGATTGTGGGGACACAACTTCGGGACTGCTTCAGGACAATGACCACGGAGTGGGTCTGATCGGCTTCTGTTCCGGTCGGTGCCGGGCGGTAGATGTTCGCGAGGTTCCCGCGGGGAGGACGACAAGCAAAACAAATGGCAATCCAAGGACGTGCTACCGACTATATTCCACAGGACCTAGATACATTTCCAATATACACAGTCTCATCACAGCTACGCAACTGGTAGATTGGCGCCTCTCCTTTCATGTCACTCGCCACTAGTGAAACTGGTCCTCCGTTACGCCCTGGCCCATGGCAGCGGTACTGCTGATGCCGCCTGTGACCATTTTCTGCAGCTCGTCGACGTATGTTGCGCCGCTCCATTTCTGGTGCTTGACGACGTCGACGCCAGAGTCCATCTCGGGCTCTTGCACGAGCTCACCGTACGCCCGCATGCCCTGTTGGCTGTACGCCTTGGCGAACTTGTCGCTGATGAGTGCCGTCGTGTGCAGACCTGCAAGGGTGATGAACTGCCAGCAGTACCCGAGCGACGCGAGGCGGCGGATGTACGTCTCCTGCTCGGCGCGAGGCATCGCCGTCTTCCAGTTGAAGGAGGGTGAGAGGTTGTAAGCGAGCCTTGATGGGTCATGAATTAGCCTTGGCTGGCATTTTTCGGGGGGGGGGGGGGGGAAGGGTGTTTTATTTTTATTTATTTTTGCATGGGTCTTGCATTGTGGTGACTTACTTCTGCTCAGGCCAAACGGCGTGGACACCTTTGGCAAACTCCTGCGCCTGCTTGTAGTCGGGGAGCTTGCTCTCCATCCAGATGGCGTCGCAGTAAGGCGCGTAGGCGATGGCGCGGTTGATGGCGCAATCGCAACCGCCCTTGAGACGGTAGTAACCCTCACGCGTGCGCGGGGAGTCCCAGTCGAAGTGGACGTCGGCACCGAGGATGCCCTTCGCAAGCGCGCGAGCCTCGGTGTTGCTCTTGCCCTTAGCAGCCGAAAGGTACTTCTGAACCAATCCATCCTTGTTGGGCTGGGGGCTGGCCTTGATGGCGTCGACGACGGCCTCGTCAAAGCGCTTCAGGTTGGCCTGCTTGAGCCAGTCGTCTTCGATGGCCTGAAGCTGCTCGCCGTTCTTGCCGGCCATCTCAGCGGCGATCATGAGGTCGTTCAAGGGCCTGAGACCGGGGTTCGTGGAGCCGAGGATGAAGGCGTGGTCACGTGGGTCAATGTTGGTGCTGAGGAGGGTGGCGGCCTCGGCGTCTGTACGGGCAACGGCAACGAGGTTGGAACCCATGATGTCGGCCTGGGCGCGGATGGCGACGAGGCGGTTGATATGCTCCTGGATCGGGACAAGGACCTTGCCGGCCATGTGGCCGCACTTCTTGGTGCCGGGGGCCTGGTCCTCAATGTGGATGCCGGCAGCGCCCTTCTCGATGAAGAGCTTGGTCAGCTTCATGACGGCAGTCAGGCCGCCGTGGCCGGTGTCGGCATCGGCAATGATGGGTCTGAGGTAGTCGACGTTGGCGAGCTTGGCCCGAGCCTCCTTCGGGACGCTCAGGCGCTCTTGCCGCTGTTTCCGGTCGTGGAACAGCTGAGCCATGAAAAGGTGGGCGACTTTGTTGGGGACAGTGGTCTATAAGGCGGGTCAGCAACAGATTGAGCACCGGCAGAGCATTGGAAACTCACATAGGGGTAATCTGCTAGATCCGGGCCGGGCTCGTCCGAGGCGGAGGCTGTTGATGATGATTGCCAGCCGGAAACGTAGACGGTGTCGAGGTACTTGGCCATCTGGGTGACCATGGTGGGCTCCAGACACCCGTAGGTGTAGCTGGCGTCCTTGTTCTTGAAGCGCTTCTCGAGAATATCATAAAGCTTCTTGGACTGCGCGTTACTCGGGTATTCGATCTTCAGGTGACCTCTCTTGGAAACGATCTGCTCAGCAGTGAATGGCCGCTTGGTGTGTCTCCATCGCGGCTCGCTCCACCACTGCTTGACTTGCTCAACCTCCTTCTGGAAGAGGTCATCTTCGATGTTGGGGTCCACGGCGGGGTTAATCATGTTGTTGGCAGCCATGATGAGCGATGTCGTGAGGCAGACTGGCGAGAAGAAGAAGCTGCTGTTCCGAGGTGAGGTGAGGTGGGAGGTTTGCTCGGGAGGGTGTGCTTCGAGACTGGAGATAGCAACCGAGGATGCGAAGAAATACTTGTATGCTTGGCAGGCCAGGAACCAGGAGTGTAGAAGCAGACAGACTACTGATATTATTCACAACTCAATTGGTGATGGAGTGAGTGCAAGGAGGAGACGGGGTTTCTTGGAGGGGAAGAAGAAAGAAGAAGAGTAAAAAGTCTATTTCGACAGAGTCACAAGCAAAAGAGGAAGGAGAAGCACAGGCAGGCATAATAATAAAGAAGTAGCAGCAAGCACTAGCTAGGCACGACGGCCATCGGTTGTCTTCGGCCAAAAGGCGTTCCTGAACCAATCGTCTTACATCTGTTTCGAGGCAAGTACCTCTGACCCGGGCCCAGGCCGACTGCTGGACAGTGTGAGTGACTCGGCGCAGTCCCTCATTCGCCCAGCATGGCGAGGCATAGATGGAATGGACAAATCTTGTCCTGGGGAAGCAGGACCGTGTGTAAAACAAACCTCGGATGCCGAGAAAAGTCTAGCTCGATGCACAGAAGTACAGTATACTTCTGTCTCGTCCCTTGGCCGTCCACGTCCAAGGTCATGAGGCACTAAGTATCTTGTAGGATGGGAGAACGGAATGGAATGCCTATGCATTGGGTGTGAGGTGCCTGCACAATGTGTCAATCGAAGCCAAGTGAGAAGGGGGTGACGTGACGTCGGGCTGGTGGTGTCTGGATTCGGCTCAAAGGGGAAGACGGATTGGGGCGAAACCACAGCTTTGCCGTCATTGGCCGAGTTGCCGAAGCTCCTTGCATCTCCCCCGCCGTGCCCCGCCATACCATGGCCCTCCCGCTACCGTCGGTACCTGTTGCTGCTGGAGAAGGGGAGCGGGTCTGGGGGCAAGCGGTAGCTGTGCAGCCGGACCATGGGAAGGAGATACCTACCTAACAAGGTAGGTAGGTAATCCGTAAACTGCACGCAGTCAACTCTGACGTCTGCCGAACCCCGAGATTCTGCAACTCGCCGCCAACTCGGCCAGTCTGGGTACTTGTATTTGTGCTCGGCCATGGCCTCCCCAATAAAAAAGCAGTGCGAAGCCGCTCCTCCATTTTCAACTTTCAAAGCAAAGCAAGCGAGACTTCATTTCATTGACCCCGGACGTAAAGTGAAGAGTCGTCAGTAACTCCAGCCACCACCGCCTGAGTGAGAGAGAGAGAGCCTTTACCCCAAACCAACCAACCAACCACCAGGAAAGATTCCTTGCGGGGTAGCCGTCGTCAAGCATGTGAAGAAGACCCCTCGTGCCTGAGTCGAGAGCTGATCGACGCCCTCGGCCCTCACTCGCACTGTATGTTCCGCCCGGATCCAGCCGTCCACGCGCGACGCCATCATGGATGGCCTCCGGAATTGCCTCCACCGTCTCGTGCTCTCCATGTCCTCATGCCAGTCACATGCCTTGCGCTGACTGTCACCTACCACCTATTAAACTCGACAAGCCTCGACATTCCACGGAACTTGTCCGGTCGACACGTGCCGGCCTTCTGGTCTACCGGTAGCTTACCCACCCCACCTGGGCCACCCCTCTCCATCCATCCATCCATCCATCCCATTTCCCCAACTTGTCAGATTACCGGTACGCTTCTCCGTGGTTGAATCGCATTGGGTGGATTGGATATCTGGTCTGGCCTCGCAGCCGCTCTAACCTCTTTTTCAACAATCTCTTCCAGACCCTGCTAGCTTTTTAGTCGTTTCTCCATACAACCAGGCACCACTTATCATGCCTACACAACAAATCACCGAGGCCCTTCGCCAACTCCTTTCGCAACCTCCGATGTCCGAGATGCCGCGGCAACCCACCAAAACAAGAGCGATCCCCTCTCGTGTCAAAAGATTTCATTCCCAACACTCCGACACTTGGCAATTGTATTGCTTGCACCGCTGCTGCCACCTCTTCACCGGATATGCACTCAATAGAGCTCGGCCAAGTGCTTCTCGTTGTTTTGCTCAATGGCATCGTGAAAGGTCTCGTACGGCGTCAGCGTACCCAGAGCACGCCGCATGTGCGCATTGACGATTTGCAGGCCGTAGACGTAGCTGGCGTTCACCCATCCGAATCTGGTCTCCGTTAGCACACTGACCACCCCAGTGCATCGCGTCGTCGGAGAACTTACCCTTCTTTGGCGACACCCTTGAAGTCGAGTCCCTGGTTGCCGTACTCTGCGTCGACCCTGTGAGGGTCGATAGGGCGGGTCACGTCGTACTTCTCGACAACTACGCCGTTGAAGTCAACAAAAGCCTTGGTGATCATGAACAGCCACTTGTAGGCTAGACGTTCAGCCTCATCGGTGAAGCTGTATCGCACTAGTCCGGTCCAGGCGAGCATTTGCTGGGGTGCCCAGCCATAGGGGTAATCCCATTGACGGTTGGGCCTTTCCAGGCCGACCACACCACGAGACTCTTCCGTGCCCGACAGGAGACCGCCAAAAGCTTCGAACTTGGGCAGCGCCTTCTGTACCATTGTCGCCGCTTGCTTGGGCGAGGCCACACCGGCCCACAAGGCCCAGAAGGTCGTGCAGCTTTCGTACGTGCACTGCTCTTTCTTGACGGTATCGTAGTCGAAGTACATGCCTTGCTGCTCGTTCCAGAGGTACTTGTCAATGGCCAGCTTTCTGCGCTTCGCCCGACGGTCCCAGATGGCCGACGTCACCACTTCGCCGGCCTTGAGCGGCCCGACGGCAAACTCATCTGGGATGACCAGCTTGTCGTTGAACACGTTGCGAATAGTGCGGGCAATGTCGGTCTCGTACTTGAACAATAGCGAGTTCAAATCGATGGTTGCCAGGTTGGCGCAGACTTTCTCCAGCCGGTATGATGTGTCGTGGCCTGACTCGCGCACGGCTCGATCATGCAGGAAGTACTCGTCCAGCTCGGGCTCCTTAATCGTCCCGCTATTGTATGCTTGCACAAACTCCTGCCAGGTGATGCCGTGCTTTTCGGCGTAAGGCTCGAGAACGTGGACGAAGTGACCCGCCTCCGTCTCGGGGGGGACGCCCAATCCCTCGGGTCGGTATCTCGAAAGACCAGTCACGGGGTCCAGACGAGGCTCGGCGACCCAGACACTATGATACTCCTTGATGGCGGCGAGCATGGATGTTCGGAGGAATTCCTTGGCGTCAGGCTCATGCTTGATCTTTTCATAGACACGGAGGGCCATGTCAGTGAGAAAGGGGGGCTGAGAGCGGCACAGGTAATAAGAGCGGGTAGCGTTCAGAATCTTGCCATAGTGTCGAATGCAGAAGCAGAAGTTCTGCACCATGGACTTGGCAAGATGGACCTTGTCGTTGACAAGAAGTCCCAAAGACTCCATGTAGCTGTCCCAGCCATAAAGTTCGTTGAAACGACCTCCAGGTACGACAAAAGGAAGGCCCCTCAGTGTATCCTCGCCAGTCTTGGGGTCCTTGACCTTCTCCATCTCAACCGCGAGGAGACCTGGCTTAGCATTCATGTCGCGAACCAGCTCGGGAGTAATGACCTCGGGGAGCTTCTGAACGTCCAAGCGAATCTCCGGTCTGTCCTTGGCGACTTTAGTGTAGAACTCCAGCTGCTCCGGGGCACCAGCGGGAACGTAGATACGAGGGCGTGGATCGTCGGTCCAGTCCTTGGGATCTCTGGCCGCGATCTCCACACTCGAAGCATCGATTCTTCTCGTCAAACCCTCCCAAAAGTGGTCGCGAATGAGTCTCGACAGTCGGTTGACAGGGTTCTCGTTCAGACGACCCTCGTCGAGGATGATCTGCTTGCGGCCGTATTCCTTGGCCAACGACAGCTCTTGCAACAAGTTGGAGAGCATGTATGTGCCTCGGACATCGAAACGGTTGTGGCCTGCGGATGCGGCGGTTCTCAAGGACCACACCTGGGCAAAGAATCATGTCAGTTTCGATTCCAGTATTTGGGGGAGGGAGGCAGCCAGCAAGTACGCACCTTTGGTCCATTGTCCTCAATGGTAATCTGCATGTTTCCATCGGTATCTTCCTGGGCCTGCAAGCTCTTGAGTGTCTCGTCCACCTGAATGAGGAACTTCCGGTTGTGAGGAATCGTAGATTCGTCTGGAGGACTTGGAATTAGCAACTTAGGCTTGGGATAAACGGATTGTCAAGCTCGGGACCGGACTAACCGTGACTGCCTCGTCGGAAGGGTTCGCGAAGCCCCATGCGCTCGAACTGCTGGAACAGGCTGTTCTGTGGTCGGGTTAGCACATCCTTGCTCCAGGCGAGATGGAAGATGACGAGCAGTCAGGGATGGAGGGTCGACAGCGTCGTCCATACCTGGGAGTAGGTTCGGGTTCGAGGGCCAGCGCGGTTGATGTGACGCTCTTCCGAAGTGTAGTACGTCTTGGCATCGTCGAAAACACCGGCGCCGTGGTCTTCGCTGGAGCCGCGACGGCGGCGTTGGCTCGTCGGGGATGTCATGGTCGAACAGCGTCGGCGATATTTGTTGTGGCGATTGTTTGGTTACAAACACGGGATGCTGACGTAGGTAGGTAGATGGCCAATTGACTTCAACTGGGCCGTGGATTTCAGGGTTATAGGCAGGATAGGTGCAGCGACTGGTCTGACCGGTAACGATTTTGTAGTGAGGTCGAAAAAAGCAGAAGGGGCGGAAGAATCTGGCTGCGTAGCGGTCGTGGCTGCGTCGTTGGATCGGTGAGAAATGGGGGGGAAATTGATGTGTGTAAGACTTAGGTGTCACGAGGCCCCGGATTGTATGGGAAGAGAGACAAGGGCGGCGCGCGGGATGGTGGCCGATTCGGTCTCAGACTTGCGGTAAGAGAGGTAGGTACCGACCACTGTTGGGGGTCAGCAGCTCAAGCAAGGTACCAAGCTACTTTGGCTTTGCTGCGGCTGACAAGTTGAGAGGAGAAGGGGATCTTGGTGCAGCCGGGATGTTCTGTCTGTCTTCCTTGCCCCGATTGTCGATTGTCGTGGAGGCAAATAGATGTTGCCAGGCTCTTCTTCTGCTTCTTGTGTCGTCACATGGAAAACTCAGGGATTCTCAACAAATCTATTCACCACTTTAATTCCAAGAATCCCGGGCCTCATGAAGTTCCAATGACGCTATAGCACGTTGCTTTTCCAGCGGTCTCCCCCACGCCGGGATCCATATATAAAGCTACCTAGCAGACCTCGCCTCAGCTCGCTGCAGCGGCAGGGCACCACGGCACCTCACTGGCGCATCAGCGGGCTGTGCGGTGCGGTGCCGGGTAAGGCTTGCCCTAGGCCCCGACCAATCAGCCACGTCCTGGTCCACCAAATGTACCGAGCCGCCAATCAAAAGCCGGTGTTTCCGAAATGATTCTGAACTGCGGGCCCGAGCTCCATGCTCCATGCTATGCTGCGTCACCGAACCCCCCCAATCTGGTCCAGCGGCAACGTTCAACCAAGACATCGAAGTCTCCAGACCCTCAGTTGCCTTTGAAGAAGCTCAACGAAGCTCATTGCAACTCGAGTTAGAGTCGGATTCAATTGAGCCTCATGCAAACTCCCTTACAACGGCTGCTTGGCGAAACGGTTCTCTAACAAGGTCCAGCCTGCACGTTGTGAGACCTTTCTCCACCGGGCTCCTGTTGCCGGACTCATCTACCTACGTACCTCTCCCTTCTTTCTTTTTCCAGTCTCATCCATGGCTTTCCCTATATTTCATGTGCAGTGCAGTCATCCGAGTTTTCGAGTTTTGAGAGTAACCGCTTGTATCCGTTACATCTACCCCTGAGACACTGATGTGCCTCTTTCGATGAGTCCAATACCCATCCGGTACACAAACCTAACCCACGTAGACGGCCTTGTCAAACGCGGCTTTAATTTATGCTGTTTTGTTCGGCTTATTCTTTCGCCAGAGATCTGATTTGAATACCCAAGACCCCCACGACCATGTCATGGTACAGAACCAACACCACTTTGTTTGGTTTTAATCGGCAAAGTAGCCCCATAACGGGTCGCGAGACCCTTTCTTCCATTGAACAGTAGATTTACACATGAGCGTCTATCTACGCGCTGACCAGCAATGCTGCTTCTACTGATGGAAACGGTGGTGTCTCCGGGCGAGCGGAGCATCGATTCTGCTTTTATACGAGTCCGAGCGAGCCAGCGCCTGCCGGTTATGGCTCGCCACGAGGTTCGATTGCTGTTGATAAGGTGACTATATCTCACAATGTCGTTGTGAGAGGTTTGGCCTAAACTTCCACCCTCCTGACCAATAAACTGCCGTACGAGGGCTTGTTGGACAAATGCCTTCTCTGGTGGCTGAATCTCAGGTGGGACTGTGTCCAGATCATGTGGAACTACTCCATGTTCAAGTACATACATATCTGGGAGGCGATAGTGAGACGCTACCACTGACAATACAGGTGAAGCAAGTCAATACCAAGCACCATAGGATATAAGGGATGGTTACATTTATGTTTAACTGGGGAACTCATGCTTCGCGGTGCTCTGGCTAAGAACCCTGTTTCCAAACATGACGAAGTGCTTCGGTGTCTCGTTTTGAGACGCCACAACTTGCCAGTGAGCAGCAGCGGTGGTATATGTATCGACGGCTGAGAAGATCTGTCCGAGACATTTACCAAACATAGAATCATTTCCCAGCTGCACCTATGCTCATCTTCCGAGACGAGCCATACAGAGGCTTACGTTCTCCTATAGCCACCACATCGAGAAGACAACCCAGGGGTAGTACGGTATACGTTGAGCGCTTCTAACCTTGTACGCCATGTAATAATCTACATACACCAAAACAAGCCAGGCTTATGTAACAACGAAGCTATAGGTTACGGACGAAGCATGGCAACATGCTGCCACAAGCCATTGGGAGATCCAGGGTCCATGGCTGCCGTTGTGGGATGATAAGTATTCGTCAAGTAGACAGCCGTTCCACACGTCAATATCCTGCCAGGGGAGAACAGCCATGAATATCCACCGGTAACTTGGCTTATATTTGCTTGTCTCTCCGCTTGTGCCTTGTTTCTGCTATTCTGTTTCACTGTCGCCACTGCTTGCTTCGCCGTCTCACAGCGTCACTCCTCGACGCCGTCTTGCGATCCGCCCAGCCTCTATTGCAGCCACGTTCATCTGCGAGCCCCGAGATGGCTACCAGGGAGCTGCGAAGCATTTTGAATCAGGTTTTGATGTTTGTTTGTTCATTAAGAGTTCATTGTTTGTGCAATTGCGCTCTCTATTCATCCTCCCTCCTGAACTTTGATCAAAACATTGCTGACATGCTTAGCTTTCTTCAGCTGCCATTTCCGTGAAACACTCTCATTGCATGTACCAACAATGAAGCTTGAAATCTCGACCTCTTTGCAGAAGTTTTGACGTTTGGCATATATAGATACCAATCACAAGGAATTCAAGTCCACCCTGTCGCTCTATATGGGGCTTGATAGTCTTGCCAGCACCTTGTCTAGGACTTTCTGCCTCAATTACGTCACAGCCGACTGTGGAAATGAGCTTCATAGTTGGTTCTAAAGCGTAGGGTCAACCTCCAGACTTTCAGTTCTGCCCACTAGACCGGCCCCTCGCGAATCTACTCAACCTGGGCTTTTCTCTCAACCGCCATGGCTCATCTCGGAGGCACACAGGCCGGGTATCTGGAAGAATCAGTCATCATATATAACAACTAGAACTTCAGAGTCGGTCAGAATCAATACTAGATCACTTTACACTCCCCGTAACATAGGTTTGGGCCAAACCCCTATTAGCATACGTCGAGGGACATGCAAAGCATCCTCTGCTGTTTAAGAGGCAGATCCATTCAGATTTCCTAGTCATTCCCAGTCATACGTTCACTACAAAGAGCTTCTCCCTACTCATCTATCGGGCACGTTCTCTCACCGATGTCTCGGAAAGCTAGCCAGTCCTAAGGCCGCCCCATTCCCCCTAAATAGAAATCGTATAAGAGTTGTAGGGGCAGTACCGGGTCGCAAAGAGACGAAAATGTCTCGTCCAAGCGGATAGATGTTTCTTAAACCAGTCGCATCACGAAACAATTGGCACATCGTTCGAGTTAGTTTACATGGCTAGCTACATCTGATAGTGGGCGGCGCGGATCGACACCAAAGAGAAGAATGCCAGGCGCGTTGGAAGGACCCGCGCAAAGCCGTTCCCGTTCTTCAGGAGCTAGCTGGTACCTCTAATACATGAATGAACTTCGGGATTTCGGTATTGACTTCACTGGGGTGAAGTTCCTGGGGGTTTGCACACCGATTCGTCAGAGCCCGTTTGACAGCTCAAACTTCTTACACCAGAGTCGTTGCTATGCTAATACTAAACTTATTGGGGTTCCTGCAGGTTCCTTTTATGTCGGACAGCTCAATTGCTAACATTGGGTTGAGGGCCGTACGATATCCCATTTCTCCGAGCTCTGAACAGTATGCTTGTTGCCATTTACGTTTTATATTCACATGCGTTGAGTGAAATGACATCCAACCATGGCCCCCTGGCAATGTCAAAGCCTCGTGTTTGCATTACAGTTTCCTGGTGCTTTGCTTATAATACAGACAGCGTACTTCCTGTCTTCTTAACTGCAGAACCTGGCCCTCGAGGGAAATGGATCATAGTGCGATATCAACCCAAGCCTGGACCAGCCTTTCTTTGTAGACTCTGCCCCATGATATCGGGACACTCCAGACGACAACTAGACATTGAGGATTAACCAGTCTTTATCAATCTCAAGGATACAATTGTGCCCTGTCATTTTCATCAAACGTATGGCATGTCAACAATGACTTATCGTCCTAGCGTCAGTTATGTACTCATTCCGCCGCAGGTTATTCGGCGAACCTGTCACAAAAAGAAACACGCTTGTAGGATCGCCGGACACGCTATATGCGCCCAATTCTCCTGAGACAGAACACCTTGTTTCGAAAACACAATGTCATGGGCGGCTAAGCATACCCGCGGACTCGAAAGGCAGGTTGTTAATAAGATTATGGCTGGAAGCTGTGATTGCGACGTCAAGGTTTGCCCCGAATCATGCTTCTGGGTCTACAATAGATTGCGTTGTAATGCCGTGCTGATTGGTTGCGTCTACCCCCAGAAGATGAGAAGATGCCTTCACGGCAGTCGAGGCATTTTGTAACAGGTAGTATCGGCTCCAGAACCAACATGCGCCTAAGCGAGTTCAATAGGAATACGGATACAACCTTCAACTAACTCAGAGGTTGGGTGGGTCCAACAAACAAGGTTCCGACATCCTGTGAACAATAATAGGGTAGCACTAAGCAATGTCGTATAGGCTCTCGCAATTACGCCGTATACGCGAGAGATCTGCTCGTGACACGCCCCCACAAGATGCGACTGCGCTTACAACTACTCCAATAGCCCGTGGTTACACTTGCGCCAAGAACGACACCTGGAGTGATCTCCACGGTGCGTCCAACTACGCTAGTGCAAATTGTTCTCTTCAGAGACCCTTG